GGGCTGAGCCGGACATCGGGGAAGCTGGGGAAGGACAGGGCTGAGCCCGGGCCGTGCCTGGCTCGCCCTGCTGGAGCCGCTCCGTGCCCGCAGGGAAGGAGCTGGTGCTGTTCCTCCGGCCGCTGTCGCAGAGCTGCGAGCCCGAGTGCCTGAGGCAGGAGCTGGAGCCCCCGGAGGTGCAGGAGATGCTGTCGGACTGTGAGTGCTGCGAGCAGAGCCGCTGCTCCGTGCTCTCCACCGACAGCGGCATCGAGCGGGACCTGCCCGCGGCGGCGGAGGAGCCGTGCGCGGCGGACACCGAGCACTCCCGGCTCCACAGGAAGGGCGGCATCAAGAAGAAGCCGTCGCCGCTGGACGGTGTGGCCTTCCTGCAGGCTGGCAGCGGTGGCGCCGGGGGGAAGCCCCCCGGGAGGACGGGGATGTCCCCCGAGCCCGCGGCCCCGCTGCAGAGGCTGCACACCGCCCGCGTGGTGCTGCTGGGGGATGATCGCATCCTGGGCCGCCTGGCACAAGCCTAYCACTCGCTCAGGTACCGGGGTCACCCGGGCTCTGGGGACAGCGGGGCGGGGCGACTCTCTGCTCCTCAGGCTGTTGGGGCAGCCGGGGTGGCTGGGGAGGGGGTCGGGCTCGGCGTTCCCTGGGGCAGGGTGGGACCCGGGTGTTGGCACCCAAATGCACCCGACTGTCACTGTCTGCGTTCGGCTCTGCTGACCCGAGTGACGTCCACAGCGAATTCTCCCCTCTGCCCATGGGCTGGGTTAAATGAACGATAATCAGGCAAGGTGTTTCCCCATGCCCAAGGGAGGTTTCCAGTTTCTCAGCTGGCTCCCCAGGGCTGGGGTGGGGGTGGGTGACACTGCAGGCAGTCTGGGGGGCACAGCTGGGTGCACAGGGACAGCAGCCCCACACAAAAGCCTGTCTGAGGCTCCCTGTCACCTCCCCCTGCTCCATTTGGGAACTGGGGGCACTGCTGCCACCCTGGGAAGGAAGGCAGTGACGGGCGCACGTGGCAGAGCAGCTGCAGTGTCCTGGTACTGCCCAGCCTGGCCAGGTGCCACGTTCTGCCCCTTCCCCTGGGACATTCGATTTTCCCATTTCAGGAAACGGGAAACCCGGCGAGTGTTCCTGACGCCCCGGCTGAACCTGCAGTTCTACCACATCCCCGTGGTGCCCGGGCACCCAAACCCCTCTGGGGCTGTTGGGGTGAGTGGGTGAGAGCAGGGGGATCCCAGAATTCCCCCCATCCCTGCCCTGTTCCCAGAACACACGGAGCTGCTGGGCTCAGTTTGCAGCCTGCCTTTGGGAACCCATCACCCCCAGGCTGCTCCAGTTCCTTCAGTTCTGCCTCCAGGCCCCAGCTGCAGGAGGATACATGAGCTTTAGYCGAGGACTGGTGCCTTTCCCACCTCCCAGATGCTGAGGGGAAGCAGTTGCTGCTCATTGCTGCTTTGCCCCTCAGCCATGGCCTCGGTTTTAGGTCTGTAAGTCACTGCCTTGGAGGTTATGGCAGGCACATCCCTTCCCCTCTGACAGCCTCGAGACTGACATAAATAAACCATTACATTTAGGATATTTTAAGCTGGCCCAGAGCTGGCTGYGACCCCTGACAAACAGGCCAGTCTAAAAATCACTATTCCTTCTTTTCAATCCTCACAGAATTTTTTTATTCTTGAGCAGCTGCTAAATGAGTTTGCCATCTTCTCTGGGCCAAGCAGGGAAAGGGAAGGGATGGGGGAATGTCACAGATCCCTCTGCCTCCTTATGGCTCCTGATAGGGTGAACCCCACAGTTCCTCTTTGCTGCAGAAAGCTTCCCAGAAGGGTGAGCCAAATCCCACAGGAGCTGATTAGGGTTGGGAGTGGCTCTGAAGAGCCTCTCCTCCACATTTTGCTCAATACAAACCCAGAAAAAGCAAACAATCCGTAGGGCTGCAGTGACTCTGAGCTGTGTTTCCCTAGGCTGGGGTTAGTCTGAGCTGTGTTTCCCTAGGCTGGGGTTAGTCTGAGCTGTGTTTCCCTAGGCTGGGGTTAGTCTGAGCTGTGTTCCCCTAGGCTGGAGTTAGTCTGAGCTGTGTTTCCCTAGGCTGGGGTTAGTCTGAGCTGTGTTTGCCCAGGCTGCAGTGACTCTGAGCTGTGTTTCCCTAGGCTGGGGTTAGTCTGAGCTGTGTTTCCCTAGGCTGGAGTTAGTCTGAGCTGTGTTTCCCTAGGCTGGGGTTAGTCTGAGCTGTGTTTGCCCAGGCTGCAGTGACTCTGAGCTGTGTTTSCCYAKGCTGSRGTKASTCTGAGCTGTGTTTCCCTAGGCTGGGGTTAGTCTGAGCTGTGTTTCCCTAGGCTGGGGTTAGTCTGAGCTGTGTTTGCCCATGCTGCAGTGACTCTGAGCTGTGTTTCTCCCACAGGACCCCACTGGCCCCGAGGAGCTGTGTGAGGTGGCCCGGTACCTGGGCAGGGCTGACCCCTGGTACGAGAGCAACATCAACACCCTGTGCCACGTCATTCCCAAGCTGGCCACCATGGTACGAGGAAACCCTGCCCATTTCCCAAATAATCGTAGCACCTGAGGAGGGGTCTGTGCCCTGCAGRGCTCCCCACACCTCAAACAGAGATTTTTCTCCTGCAAACCCTCCCCAGGGCCCTGCAGGGTTCATCCACACCCCAAACAGAGATTTTCTACAAACCCTCCCTAGGGCCCCACCAAGAGGTGTCTGTGGCTGCCACTGCCTCAGCCCACAAGAGCCATTTGCTGTGAAGGGTTTTTTTGACCAAGGGACAGGAAATGGCACACTTCAAGAAAGAAACCATTCTCTGAAATCCCCCCAGCTCTCATTTCCCAGCAGTCTGAGCCACCAYTAAAAAAGGGGTGATAGGTGGGCAGCTCTCTTGTGGGCTGTGAGTGGCGAGGGCAGAGGACAGCTCATCACGCAATCTGTGCCCAGGAAGGGGTGACATTTCGTGGCAGAGTTTTGGAGAAGTGACAGGCCTGACCCCCGCTGTGATTTGCCCCACCAGCCGTCATCACCCAGCAGGGCCCTGGTGACCGATCTGTTCCTCACCGATGTCATCGCCTACTACACCCGCATGGGCACCCAGCCTGTCTGCTTCCAGGTGCACGCCGTCAAGGTGGGTGGCACAGCTGGCACAACTCCGGGGACCTCGGTGKCCCTGCAGGGGCTGGCAGAGCTGTGCAGAGCCAGCAGGGGCTGGGAGCTCCCAGCGGATCCGAGCCTGGCTCCCTGGTCCACCCAGCCTGGCTCCCTCTTCCCCCCAGCCTGTCCCCTGGTGTCCCCCAGCCTGTCCCCTGGTGTCCCCTAACCTGGATCCCTGTTCCCCCCAGCCTGTCCCCCGGTGTCCCCTAACCTGGATCCCTGTCTCCCCCAGCCTGTCCCCTGATGTCCCCCAGCCTGTCCCCTGGTGTCCCCTAACCTGGATCCCTGTTCCCCCCAGTCTGTCCCCTGGTGTCCCCTAACCTGGATCCCTGTTCTCCCCAGCCTGTCCCCTGGTGTCCCCAGCCTGTCCCCCGGTGTCCCCCAGTCTGTCCCTCCTGTCAGCTCCCGGGCCCAGTGNCCCAGTCTGTCCCTCCTGTCAGCTCCCGGGCCCAGTGACTCTGTGGTTCAGCTCAGCTGGAGCCCATGATCCTGGGAAGACCAGGGATCTCACAGTTCACCAGAGGGAGCCCTGAAATTGCCTCCAGGGATTCCCTGCTCTCCGGGGTTTGGGGTGGCTCAGAAGCCCTGGGACCTGGTTTAGATGCCAGGACCAGCTGTGCCCAATGGGCCTGGCAGGGCTTTGCAGGGTTTCCTGCAGCACCATTTGATTGATCGATTTCCTGCAGCACCATTTTATTGATTTCCTGAGCACCATTTGATAGACTGATTTCCTGCAGCACCATTTGATTGATTTCCTGCAGCACCATTTGATTGATTGATTGATTTTTCCCAGCACCATTTTATTGATTTCCTGCAGCACCATTTGATAGATCGATTTCCTGCAGCACCATTTGATTGATTTCCTGCCAGATTTGCTCTGAAATGGTATCAGAGTGAGGCCTGGCGTTGGATAGGAGAGCAAAGAAAAGCTAAATTTGGGCACATAACATTAACCCTTCCCTCTCTGCTCCTCTGGCAGCCCCTTCAAAGCTCAGGCTGACACACAGACCTCCTTGTAATCTGCTCACGGCCCCTGTGGCACCCTTTTAATGGGCTTATAGCCCCTGTGGCACCTTTTAATCTGCTCACAGCCCCTGTGGCACCTATTGCAGCAGAGGAGAAGCAAAGTGGCATGAGGCTTGCAAAGAGCTTTGGCAATTCCTGGTGGAGCATCCCTAGGATTTCCCAATAACCCCTGGCCTGTCAGGCCTGGAGCACTGTGCTGTGGTTTGTGGCTGGGGATTTTTTTGATTTTCTGGTGAGTTTTATCCACTTGTTTGTCCTCCAAGACCCAGCCCAGTGGGTGGTTCAGGCAGGGGAGCAGGAACTGGCTCAGATATGGTTTCCAGATAGAGGCCCTGAGCTGATCTCCTGTCACCCAGCATGTGCTGCTGCCTCAGCTGCAGACACTGCCCCCCTTTTCCCTGTCGGGTCAGGACCCCTCTGTTCCTCTGTGGCTGCAGGAAATTTCCCAGAATTGTGAACTGAGTCCCACAGGAGCTGGATTTAGGGCCTGGAGGGGTTGGGAGAGGTTCTTCAGAACCTTCTCCTCACATTTTGCCCAATACMAGCGCAGGAAAAGAAAATAATCCATAGGGCTGGAGTGACCTGGTGATTTAGGATGGATCAGGCAGAAATGACATCCCTTGAAGCTCAGCAGCATCTCAGCCTRGAGCACTCCCGGTGATGTGGGATGGCTGGGAGCTGGCTCATCCCTGAGGGCACAGTGACATCCAGTGGCAGGAGACACGGCCCATGGCTCTGCTGGCCAGGTCCC